GCCTTGCAGGAAGATGGGGAGATGGAGAGGAGATGCACAGGAGACTGAGCCCGGGCACAACAGTGCTCGGCTGTGAGGTGGAGGAGGCTGAGCTGAGAGGCCACAGGAGGGTGAGGTTGCCTGGGTGAAAGGAAAGGAGAGGGCCTGGAGAAGAGGCCACCAGCTCTGTCACCTGCTGCTGAGGGGTCAGACGAGCACAAGAAATCGCCACTGGATCTGGTGGCTCTGAGGCCTTGGATAGCCCTGGGAAGAGCATCTTCCAGGGAGGTGGGGAAGCCAGAGACTGGCAGGTTGTGGGGTACATCCCAGGTGAGGAGATGCAGCCCATTCGTGGAGAAATTGGAGAAGTTTTGCCCTGAAGGAGGACAGAGAGACAGAAGAGGGGCTGGAGGGGCAGCTGAGGGATAAATGGTGTTTTTTTGACGGGTGACACACGTCTCGTGCGGAAACTACCTGAAAACTTGGGAAGACATTAGAAAAAAGAGCCAAGACCCAAGAAGAGAACTGAAGGTGCGAGGGAAGCCCGTGCCCGCCCCGCCCTGGCCTTCTCGTCCCGGCGCCCGTTCCCTGGCTGCAGGCCACGTGCTAACACCTTCATTCTGATGGGCACAGCACACCGACAACTGAACAAAGCCACTCGGCTTGAAAATGGTCCCTGGTCAAGGTGAAGGACACGCCTGGTGCTGCCAGACGCCGCCGGGCAGCTGCAGGCACACCCTCTTCCTTCCTCCCACACCCTTGGTAGCACAGAGCCTCATTCATCCAGGCCAGCAAGTCATGGCCATGGGAATGTCATGCTCTGTTTCTAGGGAAAAGGGCAGAGGCTTTTTCCCCTCTGGTTCCTCTTCTGGTGCAGAAGAACCAGTCTGCACCTAGGGCCTTGCCCCTTTTCCCCAAGAGTCCTGGGGTTATATAAGCATCCTCTGTCCCTGATGCTGGGGTCCTGGTCAAGACCTCCCCAGTGCGGAGCTGGGGTGACACAGCTAGGCCCTGGCATGGAGTTCAACCACCCTTTGTCCTGATGGCACTTTATAAAAACACTGTCAGCCTGGACTCTGGGATAACAGGGTTACAAGCCTCCGAATGACTAACTGGTCCTCAGAACTAAGTGAATCAAATACAGACTTTGGGACAATATTGCGTGCACCCAGGCCGGGTGGAGACCTAGACTGAGCATGGACACTGCCACGGAGAAAGGACATGGGAACTGTGGGGTCCCCCTGCTGCCCAGCCACCCCCACACCCTGGGTTGAGGTGGGATGTGGGTTACAGATAAGGTTAAAATACAAACGGAGGCAGGTGAAAGGAGGGGTGGGTACCGAGGTTTGAATCACAGCGAGGAATAGATCACTTCCTCTTCACCCAGACCTCAGCTGCTCCCTAAATCTCAGTGACCCCCAAATCAGTGCCTCTGGCCCATGTCTTTCTTGAGTTCCAGACTCATTTGTCCAACGGCCGCCTGGACATCTCCAGGAACAGGACATTTGTGTGCCTCTGTCCCCTGTCCCGGGCTCCCTGTCTTGGCGGAGCATATCATCTTCTACTCAGGTCACCCACCCCACAGGCCCATGTCCTCCAGAAACGGTTCAGCTATGCCTGGTCAATAGTAAATCCTTAGTATCTCTCCAGTTCTATGGCTGCTGCCTCTGAGCTCTGGGTTTGAATCCTGCATCACCTTCTGCTCACTGTGTAACTGGGCAAGCAACCCTCTCAGTCCCCGTTTCCACGCCTGTAATATTGGGATTGTGAAAGATGTCAGAATCAGAATGGAGCCACTTTTGTTAAAAATAATCCTGACAAATAGAGCCAAAGGAAGGCCATGAAGACAAAGATTCTCATGCATAAATGCCTAATAACAAAAACTACCACGGAAGACTATGAAAACCGCAATCTTGCGCAAAAATGCTTCCAGGAGGACACCTGCCCAGTAACTGCCTGTCCAGCCTCAGACTGGTGTCCCTCTTGCAATCAACCCTTGTAGCCAAGGATCATTACTTCAAAGCAATGATATAATCCTCCCTTTCCTTTTAAAAACCTTTGTCTTCCTTCACCTCCCTGAAGGCACACGTGGTTTTTACTCTGGCAGGCATACTCCCGTGGCAGTGCCTTATTCCTGAATAAACATCACTTTCTTTGAGAGCCACTCTCTGATTATTCTTCAGATTGACAGGATAATCACAGTAGGCGTCTCATAAGGTGGTTCTGAAGACTGATAATGCTTTAAAGCATCTGCAGCGGGACTGACAGCAGCACCGAGTCCGCGCTCGCCGTTACCAGCAGGTGTTCATCATCCCGCCCTCCCTCATTGTTTCCCTCCAGGGCCGGCTCCAGAGCGTTCCTGCCGGACACGCAGGTGTTCGGGTCACTTCCTGAATAAAAGCCAGCCGCCTTAATGGTGGAGTCAGACCCTTAGCTGGGCATTCAAGGCTCCCTCCCGGCCCTCTCACATCCCCACATGCCCCGGACACAAGCGCACAAGCCTTGTCATTTTCCAGCCACGCTTTGTGCCCGCCGCCCTGCCTGCAGTGGGCATCTCTCGCTCTGGTGACGCGGCTAACGTGGGCGCACCCAGTCTGAACCCGGCACGTCACCTACCTTACCTCATTGGTTCCCACAACAATCCCGTGAGGTAAGTCCTCTTTTTGCCTGTTTCCTGGAAGCTCGGTGATTCTCAAGAGGGAACAGCTAGCCGTGGAGCCAGAATTTCAGTCCAGGTGTGGCCGTTCCCAAAGTCCATGTGGTTCTAGTTAATTCACACAAACCTCTCATGAGTAGATGATATTCCAAAGGAAAAAGGGACCTGATGTCTCCGAGATGGGAAAGGATGGTAGGAGGGTGTATGTCAGCATCTCCCCAGGGCAGAACACACCTGGGGGCATCTGCAATGTCTGTTTTGCTAAGCATGAGCGCGTCTCCACAATTCCCTCTCCAGCAGGTGATGCATTAGCGTTGGTCCCAACAGCACATCGTGTCAGCTGTGAGGGGAGGTGAACTGGGGCGGGGCCGGTGTAGTCGCAGTTGGCTGGCGTTGTCAGGGTTCCCCATTCCCTGCACCTCCCCCTTCAGCTTTGCCACTGTGGGCCCAGCGCGGGGGCTCTGCACTGAAGGGTGCCTGCCCTTCTGTAGGTCCGCCACGTTCTCGGGGTCGGCAGTGGGATCTGCCCTTCCTCCCTGGTCCTCACCTCCTGTCTATCCTCTCTTCTCTGCTGACTCGGTCCCAGTGCCAGCTGCACGGTAGGGACTTAAAAAAGCCTCTGACCCCCGCGCCATGAGCTTCCACGATCACAGGAGGCCTACAGTAACCCTGGTGTGTCACTCGGTGTCCTATCCCAGGATCCATCCCTAACCAGCATGGAGAATGAATTCAACAGATGTTAAATGAATAAATTAGTTAAATAAATGTTTTGGCTATTTTACAGCTTTAAATATTAGAACTAAAACTAAAAGTGATCTTATTTTTTCCAACCTTCCCTAAAGGAATCTAGCCTTCGAAATCTTTCCGGTAAGTTATTCTTTAGCACTGGTATCCAGGATTCGTTTTTCAGTGGGGGCCAAGAGGAGACAGTTATCTGTCCAGGGGCAGAAAGCTGAAGAATAGGCCGAGCGCCCTGAATTTGCAGTCTGGTTTCCAAAGACACGGACCTTGGGATCAGCCTTGGCCCTAAATCCTGGCTCTGTGACTAGCTGTCTGATCTGGAGGGATTTACTCACCCTCTCTGTGGTCCAAATTTCCCTTCGTCAGGTGGAGGCTTGAGATGTCTGTATGGGGTTAGTGCAGACCAGGCTGAACACTCAGCTTTGCTGTGCTTTCATTATGGCAGCTACATCACAGCAGTTTCCATGTTTCAGAAATGAAATCACACCTTGTTTACATCCATCTTCAACCTTTTCAATCTTTTTAGGTAGACTAAGTCTAGCTTTTCAGGGTCTCCCAATAGTGTATGTTTCAGACCTTTATCCAATTGTGAGCCCCAATGCAATATCTAAAACCTTTCCACAAGAACACCCACGGAGCGATGGTACTCATTCATGCCATATGTATAATATTTTGGATAAAAAGGTAAAACGAGTAAAAGACGTAAAATCGTAATATCCTCTAATAAAACAGACCAGCAAGATTTGTAAATCTATTTTGAAACAACTAAAATGATTCCAGGAGTTTTTGAGTTTAATTTTCCTTCACATTGTTACAATCACTTTCAGTCTTGTGTAATTTCTAGACTGCTGTGGTTCACAGCAGCTGTGTCTCACGGGAAATGTGGACAAACCAGTCTGGCTAGTGAGGGGGGCTGTGGGAAGCTCACAGCCCCTCTTTGGACAGCCACACTGCTCCCCTAGAACCATCAAAGGAGGCCCACCCATGAGGCTGAGAGTCGGGGACATTTCCAAGGGGTGGGTGCTCCTGAGCGTTTTCTCCAGGAGGAATCCTAACTTCTGGGCAGATGCCTGGCTCTGGCCAAGAACCTGGTCCAGGAACATTATGATCTCAGTCCCTGCTGGCCTAATGCTAGGACCCTCCCAGCTGGGGAACCTCCCAGGCAGCAGTGGGGGAGAGTTCCACATGGTTTCTGATGCTCTGGCCCGTCCCTAGTTCACAGCCTTGATGATGAAGGCGAGAGAGAGAGAGAGAGAGAGAACAGGAATTTGGCCTCGGGCCACTGTGGGCTTGTATCTAGGGTATCCCACACTAGGTCTGGGATCTTTGAACCACTCAGAACCACCTCAGAACCTCAATGTCCTCAGTTATGAAATGGGAAAGACTTCCAGGTATGGGGAGGCATCAACCGTGGGATGTGTAGATTTAGGGTTGAGTAGGCGCTGCCTAGTCAATGGTGGTTAGTGTAGCTTGGAAGATGGGACAGGGGCAGGGTCACTGGTTGGTGGGGCATACAGGAAGGTGTGCTGGGGCCCTGGGGCAGCATAAGGGTTTCCCTGCCTGGAATGGTGACAAGAACACACACAGCCACACAGCATGCAATGGAATGAAACCAACCAAGAAGTGTGTGGTACGTTTTATTTAGTCAGTCTTCATTTAAATGTGTGCTTTTGAAATCACTAAATGTGACCTTTTCAGAATTCAATTCTCACAGTATTTACAGTGAACTTTGTGCAAACAAATCTGTGAGCTTCCTGCTCCGCTTTTCACATTAATAACTTACAAATTTAGACCACAACAAAACCCCAGAATCCTAGTTTTCTGTTTGAAAGGTACTGAGCTGGGATAATGGGTTGCTAGGAAGGAGCTAACGGAAGCCCAAAGGAAATAAAATGTTTTCTTTATCAGAAAAGAATAGTAATAAGGCCTTACTCTCCAAAGGAAAACATACATCCCAAAATGTTGTGGAACAGTATTAAGCAATCAAATACATTTCCAATGGTTATTTCACCTTCATTTTTTATACTTACACTCATCTCTTTTAATTAAAAAAGCAAAACCAGAAAAGTGCGATTTGAAGGGACTCTGAACTGTCAGGGAATGTTATAGAAATAATCTGACGTCAGTGACTAAAGAGTGCAGGTCATCAGGCTGCTCCGGCCAGCCTCCTGCAAGGGCACTGGTCAGAGAGGCCACAGCTGCCAAAGCGGGGAGGTGCGCCAGGCCCCACATGACTTGCCTCGGGGTCCATGCCAGGCAAGAAAGAGACACACACCTGGACCTAGCCAAGGGTGGTGCCCTGCCAGGTAATTCTTCAGGTACAAAATCTACAAAGGGGATCAATCTTGGAGAACACATTTCTCTTTCCCTCTCTGGGCACAGAAACACCTAACTGAAGAGAAAGTACACAACACTCGAGTATTGTAAAAAGGGAGGGTTCCTGTGGAAGGCAACGACTCACGATTTAGAAACTGAAGTATAAAAAATACAGATCAACAATTGTGCCTTTCATGTCTTGTAAAGTATCGCTTTAAAATCCCATTTTAGATGCTTGATGTCTGACACGAAACCACGGCCTTTTAAAATATTTTTGATTCCATGCCTTTTTATAAGGAAGATGAATTAATATCTCAATCATCCTGGTTGCAAGAGACTATTCAGGACCAAAACAGTGTAGGTTTTCTATGTGTTCACTAAAGACTGTGATGGGCAATTATAGAATGACAGCTTATTAGAAAACAAACTGAAAACAATTTATTGATGGATCTGAGAATTTTTTCACACATGAATCATTTCTCCTTCCGATGGTTATGTCCTCCTATTGATAAAAGTTCCTCACTGAGACTCCCTGGACCCATGGTTTGTGCCTGCTGGGCGTTCCACTACGGTGATTCCCACTCTAAAATACACTTACAGCAGAAAGCATTCACCCATGATGATTATGAAGGAAATATTCTGTCCCTCACTCACTCTCTGGAAGTCAATATGTGACAGCTGTGACTCTATCCAGAGCCACGTGTTCGCAGTTCTCCAGCAAGCAGGTCTCACCCTGTGGGTCCCCTATTCCCCATGACCCTTGTTGATCCATCCTGTTCCTGCTTAGTTGTTCCCCTGCTCACCTGGACTGCGGGAGGCATAGGCGCGCCCACTGAGGCCACGCTGAGGAGTTGGGATGAAATGCAGGACAGGGAGGGACGGGAGACTGAACTGAGTGGGAGCACTGGATTCCGGGAGGTATGGATGCACTGATTACAGTCCAAAGACATTGGCAGCAACGAAGGACACACAATGACTGAAAACATTAATGTTACCTCCTGGGATCTCGCAGTGCCCCGAGCGATCTGTGTGTCTACCTACAGACGGGCAAAGCACTTTTGCACCCTGGCCCCATTCCCAGTTCTCTCCTGAGAACTCAGTCTTCCTTGAAGACTTGGTGATGCCTGTCATTTGAGCTCCCGTTTAGTGGCTCATGGTGCCCAGGGGCTCACGTCTGCAAGTTAAAATCGTTTTTATCAACACCTAATACAATGGCTCTGATTTCACATAAATAATCACAGACTTGATTAAAATGAATATATTATTCTAGGTTAATTTTTTTCCATTCAAATGTTTATATTCCATCTACGCAGAACAATTACAACAGAAAAAAATAGGCACCTCCAAAGTCTTCCCAAGAATGATGGCTTTCTGACATATCACATTGTACAAACTGGACAAATGAGACGAATGACTGTGACAGGGGCTAGGGAGCTCTTCAAGGCGCTGTTTTCTTCAAGTCTCGAATCTGTTTAATCAAGTAGTTCTTCTCGTCAGCGAACTGCTCATCATCCGCCCTTTCTTTTTGAAAGCTGCTCAGAAACTCAATGAGTTTGGGCTGATTCTTTAACAGAATCTCCACAATAGGCTGTGTTTTGTGAGGACTGGCCACAAACACCTGAAACAAAAAGAAACAAATACTTAGGATGGGAGTGCAAGCCAGGGACCTCACCCACGCTACTTGTGTTTCATGCGTGACTGATATTATTAATGTATAGAAGCCACTGACACTAATTCTTAGTGAGGGTGATCCGTACAGTCACGCACCACATGACGTTTCAGTCAATGACAGACCATGTATATGATTGGAGTCCCATAGCACCATAATGGAACTGAAAAATTCCCATCGCCTTGTGATGTCGTAGGTCAATGCATTTACTCATGTGTCTGTAGTGATGCTGGTGTAAACAAACCTATTGCCCGGCCAGTCACATAAAATTCAAGTCCATGCAATTATGCACAGTGCATAACACTTGATAATCAACGACGATGGTACTGGTTTATGTATTTACTATACTAAACGTCTATTCATTATTTTAGAGTATACAGCTTCTACTTATTAAACAAAAAGTTAACTATAAAACAGCCTCAGGCAGGTCCCGTAGGAGGTATCCAGAAGAAGGCACTGTTATCGTAGGAGGTGACAGTTCCATGGGTGTTATGGCCCCTGCAGACCTTCCAGGGGGACAAGATGTGGAGGTGGAAGCAGTGATAATGATGATCGTGACCCTGTGTAGGCCAAGGCTAATGTGAGGGTTTACGTCTTAAGTTTTTAACAAACAAGTTTAAAAAGTAAAAAACAGAAAACTTTAAACATAGAAAAAGTGTATAGAATAAGGAAGGATATAAAGAAAGAAAATGTTTTTGTACAGCTGTATAACTTGTTTGTTTTAAGGTGTATTATTGCAAAAGAGTCAAAAAGTTCTAAATAATCAAAAAATAAACTTTTTATAAAAGTAAAAAGTTACAGTAAGCTAAGGTTATTTTTATTTATTTATTTTTTTGAGACAGGGTCTCACTCTATTGCCCAGGCTGAAGTGCAGTGGCACCATCACAGCTCACTGCAGCCTGGAACTCCTGGGTTCAAGCGATCCTCCCTCCTCAGCCTCCCCAGTAACTAGGACTACAAGTGCATGCCACTGCACCTGGCTAATTTAAAAAGTTTTTTGTAGAGACGGGTCCATGCTTGCCAAGGCTGATCTCGAATTCCTGGTCTCAGTCCTTCCACCTTGGCCTCCTAAAGCCGTGGGATTACAGGCATGAGCCACCACGCCTGGCCCTAAGGTTAACTTATTATTAAAACAAGAAAACTTTTTAAAAAATCTATGTAGTGTAGTCTAAGCAGTGTTTATGAAGTCTACAGTAGTGTACGGTAATGTTCTAGGCCTTCACATTCACTCACCATTCACTCCCTGACTTCCCCAGAGCAACTGCCAGTCCTGTAAGCTCCATTTATGGTAAGTTCCCTATACAAGTGTACCATTTTTTCTCTTTTATGCCATATTGTTACTGTATCTTTTCTATGCTTAGATACCCAAATACCATTGTGTTATAATTGCCTGCAGTATTCAGTACAGTAACATGCTGTACAGGTTTGTGCTGTAGGCACAATAGCCCACACTATATAGCCTAGGTGCATGGCAGGCTCCACCATCCAGGTCTGTGCAAATGCACCCTGTGATGTTCCCGCACAGACAACATCGCCTAGTGAGCGCGTTTCTCAGAACGACTCCCTGCTGTTAAGCGCCACAGGCCTGCGCTTCACCTTTCCCATCACTCTCCTTGGTCACTAGCTAGGAGCACGTGGGAGCTATCTATGAACATTTCATACTTTGTTTTACTTTTAAATATTTGTTCTTAACTATAAAATCTTTCAAACAGATAATAACATAACAAATCCAGTATACTCACCTCACAAATTGAATAGATTTTGCCATTGTGCCTCAAGTGTCTCTTTTTAAACAAATAAAACATTACAAATGGAACCAAACCCTCACCTTCCACCTTTCCCCTCCCACCTCTAGCAGTGTGCTGCCATCTCTGGGCACGTTTTAATCCTTATCCTCCTACTACACAGATATTTAAACATAAACAACATATAGTATGAGTGAGCTTATGGTTTTTAAACATTATTTTCTGAACACATAATATCATTACCTAGTTCAAAATTCAAAAAGGACAAATGTGAATAGTCCTCCTCTCACCTCCCCTCCCTGGAGGTCACCAGTGTCACTGTTTGTCACGTATGTGAAGCTTTAAAAATTACAACTGCCGGGCCGGGCACAGTGGCTCACCCTGTAATCCCAGCACTTTGGGAGGCCGAGGCGGGTGGATCACCAGGTCAGGAGATCGAGATCATCCTGGCTAACACGGTGAAACCCCATCTCTACTAAAAATACAAAAAATTTGCTGGGAGTGGTGGCGGGCGCCTGTAGTCCCAGCCACTGAGAAGGCTGAGGCAGGAGAATGGCGTGAACCCGGGAGGGGAGCTTGCAGTGAGCCGAGATTGCGCCACTGCACTCCAGCCTGGGCGAAAGAGCGAGACTCCGTCTCAAACAAACAAACAAACAAAAAATTACAATACCTCCCAGAGATGCCAACTCAGCAGGTCTGTGGTGGATGTCTGGCATTCTGTATTTCTGTGAAGTTCCACAGAGATTCTTTTGTGGACTCCTGGTGGAAACCATGATCTGATGTTGACTGGTGCACTATTTTGTAACAGACACACTCCTTAGTTACTGCTACATACATGACTAAATGGCCAGAATGCAGATCAAAGTGTCTCTGAGCCCTACAGAGCTCTCTGGTGTGATGGTCTGGCCTCCTGCCTCTGCCTGGCACACCCTCTGCCCACCCATCCCTGTCCCATAGCTGCACAGTACCCAACTCTACAAGGAACACACTACGAAAGGGCTTAGTTATGGGGCAGTGGGGGTTACATGGCTAAGCCCTTAAGGTTCCTCCACCCTAGCAACTGTGGGGAAGGAGAAAACTACCCTAGGATGTTGAGTACCAATGCGGGGAATACAAGGCTGCGGAGGCTCCCATCCCAGGAGGTGGCGATGACATTACATTTCTGGGTTTGGAGCAGGAAGGCTCGTGGTGTGGGCGGCATGAGAGCTAGTCCATGAGTCAGGCAGAGTATGTTTACACGTGGTGGTAAGAGCAGCATTCCAGGAATACTGAATTGTCCCACTGCAGGCTCTGAGGTGTGCGGGACAGGACGTGGGAGCAACAGTAAGAATGAGTAAGGGAACGTGGGAGCTAAGGTGGCGCCGGCTCTGGAACCTGGGTTTAAATTCCACCTCTCCTACATGTTAGCGGTGTGTCCACCAGCCAAGTTTTGTTATCTAGAAATAAAAGGACCTCTGCCTGTCTGGGTGGAGAGAATGTGCTGGAGAACATCAGCAGCGTCAGCACAACGAAGTCTCTGAAAGCCTTCTGTTGTCACTGTCTGTGGGGACTCGTGCTTGCTGGAGGCAAAGTGCCTGACCTGAATCCAAGGACTCGTCACTGCCCCATCACCCTAATTCTGGTCAACTGTACACACAACCATGGGTGGCCAGTTCATAGCCCTCCCAGCTGGTTATCTTCATTCATGGGGCTGTTTCACACTCATCGAACACTTAACCCTCACAACAGCCCTGAAGTATAAGAGCTGTTATCCTCATCTGTTAATAAGGAAACAGGCTGAGTCATGTGAATAAACTTGACCGCATAGTATTATGGTTAACAGTGCAGACTCAGAAGCACACAGCCTGGGCCCAAATCCCAGCACCACCTCTGATTAGCTGTATGATCCTACAAAACTTTACCTCTCTGTACCTCAGTTTCTTCATCTGAAAAATGGGGATGATGACAGTACCTGAGTGCCATTAGGTAACCGTAAGGCTTAATGAGAACAGTATATGTATTCTGCTTCTGGCCTCCAGAACTGTGTTTTCTGTTGTTTTAAGGCATTTGGTCTGTGGTACTTTGTTATGGCAGCCTAGAAAACTAATACACGTGTACCGCATTAGCAGAATATAGGGAAACCACATGATCTTCTCAACTGATACAGAAAAAGAGTTTGATAAAATCCTACACCTTTTCAGGACGAAAACACTCAACACAGAGGCTGGGTGCAGCAGCTCCTGCCTCTAAATCCAGCACTTTGGGAGGCTGAGGTGGGCGAATCGCCTGAGCCCAGATATTCAAGACCAGCCTGGGCAACACGGCGAAACCCCCTCTCTACAAAAAATACAAAAATTAGCCAGGTGCCTGCCGTAGTGTGCTGGCTAAGAGTTTCCGCTACTCGGGAAACTGCGGTGGGAGGATCAATTGAGCCTGGGAGGTTGAGGCTGCAGTGAGCTGTGATGGTGCCACCGCACTCCTGCCTGGGCAACAGAGTGAGATGCTGTCTCAAAAAAGCAAACAAACAAACAAAAAACACTCAGTCTAGGCCATTTGGATATTCACATGCAAAAGATGAAGCTGAGCCCTTATCTTACTCTAAATAAACAGTAAAATCAATCAAAGACCTAAATATAAGAACTAAAATTTCCACAGGAAAATATAGGGTAAATTTTCATCATGTTGGATTTGATAATGGTTTCTGAGATACGGCACCAAAAATGCAAGCAACAAAAGAAAAAATAGGTAAACTGAACTTCACCAAAATTGAAAACTTTTGTGTATCAAAGGATACTATCAAGAGAGTGAAAAAACCCATAGAATGGGAGAAAATATTTGCAAATCATATATCCGATTGGTGTCTCGTCTCCAGGATATATAAAGAACTCTTACAACTTAACAACAACAACGACAAACCCATTCCAAAAAGGGGAAGAGAACTTGAACAGACATTTCTCCAAAAAAGATATACAAATGGCCAATAAGCACATTTTTAAAATCCTCAAAATCATTAGTCATTATGGAAATGCAAGTCAAAATCACAATGAGATACTGCTTCGCACCCACTAGGATGGCTGCAAAAACAAAATAAATAAAAAAAAACAAAAAACAAAAACACCCTGACAGTAACAAGTATTGCCAAGATGGACGGAGGTAAATTGAAACCCTGGGCCAGAAATGAAGACTCATGCCTGTAATCCCATCACTTGGGGAGGTTAAGATGGG